CGCGGGGGCGGCGGGAGGACAGCCCTGGGCCCCCGCCCCCAGCGCTGGGCTGACCGGCTGTCCCCCCCCGTCTCGTCCCACAGAGGCGGACACGCGACAGAGGCTGCTGCGCACCGTCAAGAAGGAGGTAGGTGCCGGGGCGGGGGGCGCGACCCTGGGAAAGGGTGCTGCCGCAGCCCCGCGGGGAAGGGTCTCTAAAGGAGTGGTGGTTCGTGGCAGAGGGGGCGGCCACCTCGGGTGCGGGGCTCACCTGGGTAGGTATTTACCTCCTGCAGCACTGGAGGCGGTGAGTTTGGGGGTGGGGGCCTCGGGTATTGGGGGGGCTCTGGATGCTGTGTGCAGGGGCGGGTGCAGCGGGAGGGCCCCCCAGGTGTGGGGCACACCTGGAAGTGTCTGAGTAGGACCCCCTCTTGTGGAGGAGCAGGTGGGTGGGTCTCACTAAGGTGAGGCAAGCACCTGGGGGGGGGCCGACAGGACGTATTGGGAGGTGGAGGCCTGGATGGGGCTGCAGAAGGAGGACCAGACTTCGGAAGAGGGGAAAGGTTCGCTTTGGGAAAATAACAACACCCCCGTCTCCCCTTCCCCCCAATTCTCAGTCCTTGGATCCACCCCTCGGGAGCCAGGGGACTCCCTCCCTGAAAGTCCCTGGTCAGTGGGTTACTCCATTTGTGGGCATGTGCCAGGGCGTCTTGGCAGGTGGGTTCCCCTCACCCACCCCTCCCCACCCCCCACACGCAGTAGGGTGAGAATCAAGTAGGGCTCAGCTGCCCTTCTGCCCCTTCACTCTCCTTGGGGCCAGCTGGGGAGCCCAGTCTAGCCTTTAGTTAATAGCGCTTGACTTCCGGCAGAGGGGTGAATCTATAGTGATGGGTTCCTGGGAAGCATTTAGATGCCTGGACCGTGTGTGCGTGTGTGTAGAGCACGCTCACGCCTGTGTGGGCGAGGACATGAGTGTGTGTGTCTGAGAACATCTGTGCATCTGTCTGGAGATATCCAAGTGTATCTCCATATTGCGTGTCCATGTGTCTGAGTGTTTATCTGTTTTTGTGAGTATGATGTGTATCTGTGTGATGCATGAGTCTCTGTGTGCATGAGTGAGACTGTGACCATGTATGTGTGACTGTATGTGTATATCTTGCCTTCCTTATGTCACCTCACATCCCTCACCCTGGGACCCCATCACTGCTGAGCTGATCACCTATCTTGAGTCCTCAGCCCAAGACCATGAATGGCTGCAGACCTTGGGGGCTGGCCTGATTCCTTTGCCTCTGTGTTTGAGTTTGTGTGTGTGTGTGTGTGTGTGTGTGTGTGTGTTGAGGGTGTCAGCCTTTGGTGTCAGCACTGAGCACCAAGAAGGCCCTCCCCACGTGGTGGCAGACAGCCATCAAAGACAGCCTTGAAGCTGGGACCTGTTGCTGCCCCACCCTCCTCGGAAAGCATGGGTGTATGTCTGTGTATAGGTCTCTGTGTGTGGCATGTCCCGTGTTGTTGAAAGAAATCAGCTCCAGGGCTGGTTGTACACTCTAGCATTTCTGAATAAGGATGCACAATAGGATACGTGGAATTCCTCAGAAAGGCCCAGAACTTTTCACTTTAGCCCTCTTAGAGGCACTGTGCAGATCTGACAAAAGCTCTATCTAAATAGACCATCTTTCCAACAGAACCTACAGATCTACAATATTCTGATGACTGTGTTGGGGGAGGGTGTCCATAGAACCTTCCCAAAAGCCTTCAGGTTAAAACCTGCAGTCTCTGTGTTCATTGTTTGACTAAACCTAGTTAGTTTAGGTTAATTAGGTTAACTTCCCAGATGTTTTCACCTGGAATGGCTATGTTTTTAAGGAAATGGTTTGCTGGTTCAATTGGGAGGGGTCTACAGGCAGAAGAGCGTGTGAGCAAGACCTCTGGGGAGAACAGTGCCTCTGGGCAGGGCTCAGCTGGGGCCCTGGTACCAGCTCAGCCAGCAGCTCCCTTGGTGCCCTGGCCAAGCCCTTTCTCCTCTCAAGGACTCAGTTTCCACATCTGGAGAAAGAGGCATTGGTCCAGTGTTCTTAGAGATCTCACCCATGTTAGTCTAGTTTGGGATATTGGCAGGCTGTGGGGGACACTTTGACCCTGGTGACCAGAGTTGTGGGCTTGCATCCTCTGTCCTGGGAGCAGCCAAGTTTGGGGCTTGTAATGAGCTTTCTGACTGGCATAAGGCCGAGGCCATCACCTGATCAGAGGGCCCCCTGGCACCCTGCTTGGTGCCTGAGGGGGTCAGGGACAGAACCTTGCAAGTTGGGGCAAAGGGCCTCAAGCACCCCATTACCTGCAGTCAGAAGGCAAGGCTTACCATCACAAGTTGGTGGCTGATTCTAAATTCTGCATTTCTTGGGGCACGTCATTTCAGTAATCAGATTTTCCATATAGTGGGGGCTACTCTGTGCCAGACCCTATGTACACAGTAACTTTATGAGGTGACTGAGATTGTCCCCATTTTACGGACAAGGAAACCAAGCCTGGAGTGGAGGTGTGAGCTGCTCAAGAGAACACAGCCAAGAAGGTGCAAAGCCAAGGACTTAACCCCAGGTCTGTCTGACATCAGAGCCAGGCTCTTACCTCTTATATGCCAAATGTGCCCATCCAGCCTACACGGCACAGGATGAGTCTCAGCATGTGGGTGGCATGGTTTCCATCATACAGAGGTGACAAATGGCCCAGACAGAATAAATGATGTCTCAAGGGTAGGGAACCAGTAAAGGGAAGACAAGTTCAAGTCTTCAATGAGCCCTTTGTTCAGCATGGATGCCCCTAAGGGCATGGTGACAAGTCCATCCCCCACCCCCAAGGCAGACCTCCTCTCTCCTTTCCTTCCTCTGCGCACCTCTTTGGGGAACATCTCCCCCCAGTATCAGAGACCCGGTCTCCAATGGAATGGTGGAGGGAAGCTCTTTGCCTAGAAACCTAGGAGTCAAGTCTGCTCTTCCTTCTCCCTCCTCCCCCATCTTCTGGGTTCAGAGGAGCCACATCCCTGCCTGTCACAGCCTCGTTCAGAGGCACCTCCCATCATTCTTTCTGGAAGGGGTGGCTTAACGATCCGTTTCCTTAGACAAGGTGTGCAAGTTTGGGCTGAGCCACGGAAGCCGCAAAGGCCAGCGGAGGCTGTGGGGCTGGAAGCTCTGTCCAGTGCTGACTCTGGGAGCCAGTATGATCCAGTACCATGAAGCGGGTCAAGAAAGAGCTTTGGGCTCACCCAGAGCTGGGTTCAAATTCTGGTGCGTTTATCTACTGAGGGGCATCTGTGTGCCAGACACCAGTCTGGGCTCTGTGGATACAGCAGTGAACAAGATAAGTCCTGCCCACTTGGGGCTGCCATCCCAGTATGGTAGACAGACCCCAAGAGACATTCTGAGTGTAATTCAAGGGATCATGACAGGCTTTGCACCGACGTGTGAAGGAGAGGCACTTGGCACCACAAGAACACATAACAGGGTGAAGTAACCTCATGCAGGTAGCCCAGGAAGGCGTTCTGGAGGAAGTGATGTTTAAGATACGTGAGGGATGAGTAAACCTTCTAGTTGGAGGTAGGAGGTGGGAAGACACAGAGGAAAACCCTTCCTGGCAGAGGGAACTGCATATACAAAGGCTTTGTGGCTGGAGGGAGCACTGTGAACTCGAGGGATGAAAGGACTGGGAAGTGGCTGGAGTACAGAGAGAAAGCAGCATGGTGTCAAATGCAGAGGGGCAGAGCACGTGGTCCTATCCTAAAAGCACAAGGAAAGGAGCAGGGAGGACATGAGCTATATGCAGGTAGAGGGTGGAGCTAAACTTGGTTGCTTGTAAATTGCACAGTCTTAGACAAGCATCTGTCTTTACTTCACAAGGGTCCTGAGATACAGTTTACTCATCAGGAGGATGAAGATTACTCACCTTTCAGGATAAGCCATGTGAAAACACCCACCACGTGAGCCTGAGCTGCTTCTGGGCAGGCGTCTTATTTTTTTCTGTCTCCCCAGTGTCGCCAAGGGAAAGCTGGAGACAGGGTGGCCTCGGCATAATTTCCTCCAGTTAAACCCAACCAGCTCCTTCCTGGCTCCTTCCTGGCCCTCTTCGCCCTCCCCTCCTTTCCTCTCCCCGCCTCCACCCCTTAATTTTGTTTTGGTTCCCTGAGCAGCGGGGACTGGCTTCTTGTTGCCATGACGACTGCCCTTAAAAGAGCCAGCCACGTGACACGAGTTGATAACGGAAGTGGAGTGACTAACTGCCTTGTTTTCTTGCCTGGTGCTGGGCCTGGGAGGCCTCTTGATCGCAAGGGAGAAGGCTGCAGCTGGAGGACGGGAGGAGAGACCCTGGGAAGGAGGCAGGGGGACGAGGCGGGTGCTGGAGAGGAGGCTCCCTGTACTTCTGCAAACTGGGGCTGGTGGGAGGGCTCCCCACGGCAGCTCTAGTGCCTGAGCTGGGCGTGTTTGGGGAGCTGCGCCGGGCTGACCGCGCCTCCCAGCCCTCGGGTGGGGGGTGATGGGATGGGGGAGGAGGGCTCCACATCCTAAGAAGACTGGAGGAAAGTGAGAGAATCAACCCATGTTTCTACTAAGACCCCCATGGTGCTTCCACTTTAATCCAGTGGTACTCAATGAAAGAAGGGTGACAATTTTGCCCCCCCCCCGTAGGGTCATACAGTTAAATTCGAATTCCAGATAAACAGTGAATTTTTTTTTTTTTTTAGTGTTTGTATTGCTAAATCTGGCAGCCCTTCCCCAGGGGACATTTGGTAATGTCTGGAGCCATTTCTGATTGTCAAAACTGGGGGTGCTGCTGGCATCTAGCGGGGAGGGTCGAGGGATGCTTCTCAGCTTCCCGCAATGCACAGGACAGCCCTCCTTCCCCACCACAAAGAAGCGTCCAGCCTAGAATGGCACTGTTGTTGAGACTGAGAAACCTCTGTGCCGGCCACTGTGCTGGGTGAGCCCCAGACGTTCCCTCCTCCACTCTCCATGGCGGCCCTGAGAGGGAGAATACTCATCTGCTTCACCGTGATAAAGAAGGAGCTATAGGTACAGAGAGGTTAAGCAGCTCCCTTTAAGGTCACACAGCCAGGCCGTGGAGAAGCCAGGATTCAAACCCTGCTTTGTCGTCAGGCCCTGACGGGTGGCCTCACAGAGGTTCAGCGTAGTCCCTGGAAATGTGGCTGGGGGTCAGGCGTGTGTAGGGGAAGAGATGAGGCAGGACAGGTCCATTATGGCAGCTTGTTCGGAGCTGTGAATGCCTGGCTGTAGCATTTGCTCCATCAGATGGTGGGGAGCTGTGGAAAAGTTATGAGCAAGGAGGGTCTTGCTTGCACTTGGACTTCAGGAAGTTTCAGCTGATAACAGGGGCCAGGAGGGAGCCTTTTGCCACTTCTTGGAAGAAAACGTTCTCCTTTCTTTCCTTCCTTCCTTCCTCTCTCTCGACCTGCCCTCCTTCCATTCCTTCCTTCTTTCTTCCACAAATATTTATTGCCTATCTACTGGGTACCAGGTACAACTCTAGGAGTTTAGAGAAGGAGCAAAGCAGCATCCTTGCTCACATGCTCTCATGAAGCATATGATCTAGTTGGGGGACAGACAAATAATAAATAGACGCAGGCACACCTCGGAGATATTGCGGGTTCGGTTCCAGGACACCAGAAGAAAGCAAATACTGTGATCAATTGAGTCAAAGGAATTTTTTGGTTTCCCAGCAGATATAAAAGTTATGTTTACACTATGCTATAGTCTATTAAGTGTACAAAAGAATTGTGTCTCAAAAAACCAATATATATCTTAACTTAGAAATACTGTTATGTATTATATTTTTACCTTATTGTATACATTGTATACATTTTTAATATATACATTTTTTAAAGATTTTATTTATTTGAGCGAGAGAGAGCAGGAGAGGGGGGTGAGGGGCAGAGAGAGAGAAGCAGACTCCCCACTGAGCAGGGAGCCCGATGTGGGACTCGATCCCGGGACTCCGGGATCACGACCTGAGCAGAAGGCAGATGCTTAACTGACTGAGCCACCCAGACGCCCTATATCCTACACATTTTAAGTAGGAGGTACAGGCTTCCCCAAAAAAACATTTTACTGCTAAAAAATTGCTAACCATCATCTGAGTGTTCAGTGAGTCATAATCACTGATCACAGATCACTGTGATAAATATAATAATAAAGAGAAGTTTGGAAATATTGTTAGAATTACCAAAGTGTGACACAGAGACAGGAAGTGAGCAAATGCTGTTGGGAAAATGGTGCTGATATAGACTTGCTCGATGCAGGATTGCCACAAACCTTCAATTTGTTAAAAAAAAAAGAAAAGAAAAAAAAAGTAGTGTCTGCAAAGCACAATGAAGCAAAGTATGCCTGTATTAGAAGTCACAAGTGCTGTGAGGAAAATAAAACTGGAACGTGGGTGGAGAGTAGGTGGTCAGGGATGACCTCTCTGATGGGGTGACATTTGAGCAGAGACCTAGAGAGAAGGAGAGAACCCTGCTGATGTCTGCAGGAAGGGTGTTCTTGACAGAGGGAACAGCATATGCAAAGGCCCAGAGTCAGGAGCAATGAAGAACGAAGAGGCCAAGGAGCCTGGAGTAGAGTGAACGGAATGGAAGAGGAGGAGACGAGGTCAGAGAGGGAGTAGGAGGTTGCTTCTGCAGGGTCTTGTGGCCCTCGGACATGAAATGGCAGCCATGGGAGGATTTTGAACAAGGGGGGAAGGTGGGGACATGAATTCATCCATGTAGACTGCTCAGGCTGTGGGCCAGTGTAAATGCAGGGGACAAATGCAGGGCACAAGGTCATTAGGCAAGAGAGGAAACTTATCTTGTTCTCTCCTGAGCTTTCAATTCTTAGGCTAGAAACTACAGCCCCCCCCACTCTGCCCTGCTCCCCCACTGGCCAAGTAGGGGTTCCAGAAATTCTTGCCAGTCGAATGGATATAGGAATACTGGGTGCGGATATTTTTGGGCTCTCTGATGCTTATAGGGTTGACTCAAATCAGTTTGCATGTGTCGTGTTTTCAGGCTTAAGATGGCGGAAATTCTGCTCATGAATAATGCAGTCACATCCGTGCGGTGCATTTTGATGCTTTTTTCAGGGCTCTGGCAATATGGCTTCCAGGAGACTTTGCTAGTGCAGGGCCTGGGTTTCAGCACCCCCTGGTTGGATGTGAGGGTGGCAGAAGGGCTTCTGGCTTGGTTACGTCTCCTGTGCAGCCTGGCTGGGTCTTCCCCTGCAGTAACCTCAGGAGGGGCTCCAGTGGGAGCATTTGTCGCTGGTGGGCAGGTAGGAAAGGGCATTTTTGTCACCCCAGTGGGCCGGCAGACCTCAGGATAGGAAGCGAGGGCACCGGAGCCCTTGCCCAACTCTGCCCCTAACCACCTGTGGCCTCCTAACCGATCCCTTTTCCCTATGTCCTTCTGCTTTCTAAGTGGACAAGGTTGGACAGCTCCAGGATTCTAAGAACCTCAAGCCATCAAATTTGGCCAGCATCACTTTCCGAGAGCCAAGTCTCCCCGCATTTTGTCAACTCCGAGTTTGCCAAGCCTGTATTTAAGACCTATTCAAACT